ATTATATATATATATATATATATATATAAATTATTAAAAATTTATAAATATTTTAAAAGAATATGAAAAATCTGAAATAGTAGAGAATTAATTCTTTGATTAAATTTCATATTCTATTAATATTTTACTAAAGTAATCTGGTCTTATCGTTTAAATGTCGTTCACCAGTGGCTCATACGTGTGTTAAGTGACAAAGTGAATGCTTCGTTGGATTGATTGTCTGGACAAAGACGAAAAAAGTGAAACGTTTGACAAATTAAACGTCAAAAAGAGATCGAAAAATAAAATGTTAATTGAACAGAAGAAATGTGATAAAAGTAATAATTAAGAAAAAATAATAGTAAAAAAAAAGAAATCTCAAGATTGACTGATTATCGATAAGTCATTCATTTCGGATAATACATGGAATTGAGATAAAAACTTCTTAAAATTCAAATTTATCTTTTAAAATATAACGAAAAATAAAAATGGAGGAAGCAACTACATCTACTGTTTTATTAGTAGCAAAGATAGGTGCAATGATTGGTCTTGGTTTTGGTTCTTTGCTTTTGGGAATGCTACCACTAATTGTCGGACGTTACAGAATGAATCATCGCAAAAAAAGACATTGTGGAATTTTCAGTAATTCCAGTACTTGTACATCAACATCAGTTTCAAACGCTTCATCCGCTAGTGTCATCTCTGAATCTGCAACGAGTTCACAAGTATGTTTCGAAACTTAGTACCAAAATTTCAATAATAAAATTGTAAAAGAATTGAATAATTCTTAATAGTCCTCAATTGATAGAATTATTTATCTGAAAATTAATCCAGTTAAATTTTATTTCTATATCGAAAAAAATAAATAAATATATAATATAATTCATAATATCCTTCTAATATTTTATACTTTGTTATATATTACGTTTTCTACTTTATATATTAATATTGTTATTATTTATATTTATATTTTATATATCATAAACTCTATATAGTTATTTCACTTATTTCTTCATATGTCTCATTGATTATATCTTATCAATTGAGAATTTCTGTTGAAAAACCAACTTTTCCTATTCTTCTTATATTGATTTATTGTGGTAAAATTCTTGATTTTATAAAAAAAAATTTATTTTCGCAAACTAAATTAACAATAATATTAAATACAATAGCAATAATTCTATTTAATTAAACTTTTTCTCAATGACAAAAATCAAAGAAAAAAAAGGAAATAGAAAGAATAAAATCATTTTAAAGGACACGAAATGTTTGGCAAATTAGAAAATATAACATATAATCTTCAGGGTTTACAAACATCGTTGCTGCTCTGTTTTGGCGGAGGAGTTCTTCTCTTCACTACATTCTTACATCTAGCTCCAGAGGTCCGAATCAGCGTAGAAAGACATCAAACAAACAGTCAACTACCTACTCTAGGTGCGCTAAGTTTATCGGAGCTACTATTCTGCGCCGGATTTTTTCTCGTCTACTTCGTTGAAGAGGCGGTACATGCAGCATTGACGGGAAAACCCGAGTCATCAGAGGCATTGCTATATAGAACAGTATCTGTGCGTAGATGTAACAATCAAACAGGTGCAACATCAACCACAATTGGATCGACCACCACGGTATCCACTACAATCAGATCTACATGGAAGGAAGATAACAATGATTTAGAAGATAGCGAAAATAATTTAAACAAACGGCAAAACGACCTGGATGAATTTTGCGAAAGCAAACAAGACAAAATGTTACCCGCAATATTGTTTTATCATCTCCTATAGGATTGTCTTCCACAAAGCATAATTCACAAAACAATGTGAAACACTTTTCTGATGCAGAGCATTATCCCAGAATGGAGCATCATGAACACAGTCACATGACTATAACAAAAAAGGCATCAATACAAGGATTATTAACAGTTCTTGCTTTATCTTTTCACGCAATTTTTGAAGGTTTAGCTGTAGGTCTAGAACCCTCTATTAGTTCTGTTATTTATCTGGCTGCTGCAATAGCTACTCATAAATTAGTGATCTCATTTTGTGTTGGTATGGAACTTTATGTTGCTGGTGCTTCTACTAAGACTACTCTTGGATATCTAACAATATTTTCTATGGTAACACCAATTGGTATTGCTGTTGGATTAGCCCTTGGTCATTTTAAAAATGATAGTGAGAATTTAGGACCTACTCCAACAATATTACAAGGAATGGCCGCTGGAACATTGCTGTACGTGGTTTTCTTTGAAGTGTTGGCACGAGAGAGAGCTAACGAGAAAAGTGGCCTTTTACAATTAACTGCCATAATTATTGGATTCATGCTGATGTTGGGTTTACAAATCGCCAGTGAGTGTTTTCTGATTAATGATCCGAAATTAAAGTGTATAATAAAATAATAATTCGATATAAAAATTTTTGCAAATATCCACTTTTTCTTTCTAATCTCTAATTAATAAAATTGAAATCATCATATTCATTCATTATCATCTGAAATCATTATTGGTTTATATCTAATAGGAATCTATATATTTTATTTTATACTTTTATCTTTTTTTTTAATTTAATACCTGTCTTGAAAAAAATTTAAATTTCAATTCAAGAGACAGAAATAATTTAATAAATTATAATTAATTTCTTATTTTTAAGAAAATAATAATATTGATTCTAAAATCTAAATAAGATATATTTTATAAGTTCTACTCAATAAAATCACAAAAATATTCAATTTATCATCATATTAACTGCTTATAATAATGGCCATTATTTTGGTTTTCTTTCTATTTTAAAATTATCAATATCGGTGCAAACCTATTGCTAGTACGTCCTTGATGCAATCACCACCCACGTATTCTCGTAATACGTGAAAACTATTCCTATCGATTTAGTAAAAAATCATAATTACAAAAATCGTAAGAAATCGAATTATATTATATAATATTTATTCCCAATTTTATTTTTTAATCAAATTTTAATTTTTCATTAAAAAAGAAAAAAAATTAATGATTATTATTATTAGTTATTATTAATAGATAATTATTATTATTATTATTAATGTATACAAAAATTTTATTTACTATTCAATATTTTTTATAATAAATATAATTAATTTGATTTAAAATAAATCAATAATCTGAATTTAATTGTAAGACTAAATTGGTTATTTAATCTAATAATCTAGATAGATTTAAATCATTTCAAAAAAACTAATTATATACATAGAATATAGCTGTCAATTTCATTTGTTGTCAATCTTTATTCTTTTATACAATAATATTCCAATTGATATACTTTTCAATTAAGCTAATGATTCTGATAACAATGGTAGACAAATGTTAAATTAATTTTTAATTTAATTAATTAAATTTCTATTTCGCAATAATGTTATTCATTGCAATAATTTTTCATCGAACATCTCATTCGTATATTATAATATGCTCAAATGTATCTATTAATTTTATAAAAATATGCATATATATACATATATATTTTTATCAAATAATAAATAATTTATATACATAATTTATATACATAAATATATAATAATATCTTTGAAGAATTAAAAAAAAATCGATTAAAATCCGATTTATATATATATATATATATATATACAATTGTTTTAAAATTTCTATTCAAGTCATTCGATATTGCTATTCATTTTAATAACAAATTATTTAAGAGATTTAGATTTCACAAGAATCTACAGGAACAGTTAGAATAATAACTATTTTTTACAGAAGTTATGCAATTTGATCTCATGATAGAAACAATGAAGATATTATATTAAACAAAATGAAACAACAAATTCTTTCTTCGATTTAATAAAAGACAAGCACAATGTAATAGCCTACTATTTGCATACAATTCATTGAACTTATTTATATTAACTTCATTAAGTTTAATCTTTTGTCATTAAATTGTATTATTATTTCTCTTTTTTTCTGATTCATATGAAAATTTGTATTACATAAAATTATTTTAAATGGAGAAGATAACAACTTCAATAACAATTTTGATTATTTTATTTCTTTTTAAAGTTGTCTTTTTAAAAAAAATTTTTTTTTCGATATATTTCAAATGTTATACAATTAATCATGATTCTAAAAAATCAAATAATTTGGTTCATGAAGAATAATACTTTAAAAAAACTTATGTATCGACTTTCTCCATTTCTATGTCAATGACCCGAGACAACGAACAATCAAACCAACTTTCGACTGCTTTCTCAACTATTTATCAAATTTATAATTTGCTATTTATGGAAAAAAAAATGTAGGAAATTATTTTCACCAATATATATGATATTTTAGATGTTATTGAATATCGAACAATTTTTTTATAATAAAAATCTTCTTTTAAATATTTAAAAATATAGATATTTTTTATAAATATTCGATATTTCATATAAAAAATGGTAAAGAATATTTTTATTATTCTTTTTATTTTTATTTATTCTTTATTCAAAAAATTATCCTTAGAATTATAAATTTGTTTTTAATCAGAGAAAATTTATTAGTAAGTTTAACTTTTCTCCTAATAAGATTTATCAATTCTTCAAGTTATTCAATGAAATTATTCTTGATTTTTTTTGGAATTGTAGATATTTACAACTATATTATGAAATCTATCTACTAAATAAAATTTATCTAATTATAAAATTTGCAATAATAAAAAAATAAGGTGCTAAACATTCATCTAAAAAATTATTTTTTTCTATTTTTCAGCTGCGCATTCTCACTCTCATTCACATTCACATGACGATCATGCACATTTGCACGATCATAATGCTGAGCATCAAGAAAATAATCATAATCACGAGCTGGATTCCCACGAACATATCTATTCAAATGAAATGAGCGAACGAATACTCACTGACAAAATCTATAAAGTGACAGAAAGTATTGCAGATACTGTGAGCAACGTTTTATCTTCAACAATAAAAATTTCAACTGATGTATCTTTTCAAACTAATAACGAAACAGTATTGCACGAAAATCGAAGTTAATATCCGTTAATAACATAAATAATATTGAATACAAACTAAAATATTTAATATCTCTTTCATGGGATAAATGAACCTTGAAATTTGTTTGATTTTGCAATGATGCATATACGATAAAAAGAATAAAAAAGAAGTTTTGAGTGAAAAAAAACAGTATTATGAAACTTTGGTTTCAATCTAAGAAAGGAAAACAATACTCTTATTATACGGGTATTATATGCATATGTTACCAATTATGCAAATATGCAGATATTAAATGCTAATATTTGCGAAATATGGTAGAAATGTACATCTAAAACAACAATAAAATATCGCCATTGTTTTTGAATGACCAAATGTGATATGATTCATAAGTATAACTATGTAATCGCGTAATTACTTAACTTTTTCTTAATGTAAATTCTATATCTATATGAATCTATCTATCTTATATCTATCATTATTTTTTATATTATAACTAATTATAATATATAATACAATACAAAACTGTTTCTTAATTCTTTATATCAATATTCAAATATGTACAAATATGTACATACATGCTTATATAATGTGCATATTGTATAATATTGTAATAAAATAGAATATATTTTGCTATTATCGATTCTTTATGTTTGAAACAGTTTTAAAGTTTTTTAATAACTATAAATATTAAACCGTTCCAAGTAATATTATTTTAAGAATTTTCAATAAAAAAAATAATAAGAATAAGTTAATAAGTTAATAATAAGAAGTTATTTTTAATCAATGACATATTAACCATTTATAAAGACATTTCCTATGATTAGATCCTATGATTTACATAATTTTTTAATTTATTAATTTAATGTTTTTTAACAAAAAAATCTTATTACTTCAATTAAAAAATTTGTCTAATATTAATGTATATAATTTATAAAATAAATGATAATTTATTGATAGTGAATCAAAAAAATTTGAATATGATACATTAATATCATTTTAAATTGTACATTTAAATTTAATTATTTACTATTATTATATTATATATTATCATTCATTTTCAACTAAAAAAGAATTCCTTTGTGACTTATTAATAATATTATTAATATTATAATATTTTTTTGTTTATCAAACTGTGTTTTGCAATTCTTTGTTTTTCTTTATCTTTATTAAAGTGCAATTATAATTTTTTTTTCAAAAATTTATTATTATTATATTTTATATTAAACGATTACTTTCAAACAAAACAGAATTTTTAAAATGATATTATTTATGAAATAATTTAATTCTAACAACTTTTATATATATTAATATTTTATGTTGTATATGATTACTTTTTTTATATGTTATTAAAATCGATATAATATGCTGACAACATATGAAGAGATCATATCAAAATATAAGAAACTCTATAAATATTTACAATATCATGTTTTATTCATTTTATATATATGCAAATTAATATAATATGATAGAAATATTATATGATAGAGTTATTTATAAAAATATTTTAATAACATAAATAAATATTATTTTCTTTAAATCAAATTTAATAATTATTTTTTAAACATAAATTATATTTTTCTCAATATGTACATAAAACAATAAATTAAAAAGAAATAGAGTATATTAAAGAAAAGTATATTATTTTTTAAATAACTAATTATATTCGAATTAAAATGTTTTGTGACTCTAATATAAGTTTTTACATTATATACAAAATAATTAATAATATTAAAAATTATATATATATAATTATAATCAATTATAATTAATATTAATAAATTATATATATATATATATATATATATATATATATGTATAATAC